GTTGCTTCTGCTCCATTGTTAGCAGTTTCAGTACGAATTTTGCGGACACTCTCCTCATGCCCAAATCCTCGGTCAGAATTGAATGTACCAATCCAATGCTTACCCTTATCTCGTTTGCAAGTTCTCGGACTGTGATACGATGGTCCTCCATGACCAAAGTCCACACTTGCTCAATGACATTCTCATTTCAGCTTGTTGAGGGTCTGCCTGATCGCGTTTCGCTGTCCACTGATATGCGGTGAAGCGGTTGTACCACTCCTTTATCCGTGAGTTGCTCATGGCATTGTCCCCAAAAGCCTGTTGAATCTTGCGAATGGTTTCCACTTGGGTATCGCCAAGCTTTTGGCAAAATTTGATGCAATATCGTTGCTCATGTTGTTCCGTCATTTTATACCTTACTGAAATCTGATGAGCGCTCACTACACGTCCTCACTCATAGGCTGACTGCCAGTGACTGACGCTTTCTGCAGGCGGGGAAAAATTCACGACTGCGCATGAAANTAGATTAACCTGTGGAATATACAAATTATTACCATGCCTAGTTATCACACTGTGACTTTCAATATTTGTTGTAAAAAGATCTTTATTTTTGGCTACAAAAATACTGGTTGGTGTAATGGTATCAATCTTGATTCACATGCAGAAGGTGCTCAGTTCAAACCTCAGGCAAGATGCTGATCATCCTGGGTGATTTTTTGTGGCTTTCCTCGGTCCCTCCATGCATAAGCTAGGATAGTACCTGATTGGATCACAACTATTTCCTTCCTAATCCTTTCCAATTCATTACTCACCTACCATCCTACAATTCAACACTATAGAGTCCAGTTACTGACTAAGATAATCCTCCACAAAATAGTTCATATAGTATAACACAGAGCTTATGTATGGCTTATGCATAGATCTCATACAATTATGTCGTCCTCACTCCTTGGCTCTTGGTTTCCTAACAACACTGTCCTCCTTTATGGCGCATTCCCATTTTTCTATATTTCTGCCTCATTTCTCCACTTCAGTGCATTCCAAGCAGCAAGATGCAACTCATTGTCCATATAATTTTCCTTAGTTGTTACTCTAATTATTCATCTAGCATATATCATTAGGTTTCTTGGTATGGTCGCATATTTAGGAGTGACTATACATAGGATTTTGGATTTGTGAATGGATTTATTTACCACTCAGTTCATAACTACAAGTAATACAGTGTTATCGCTGATTTACACACTGTACAGTCAACCATTACGCATACACTAGTGTATTATCAGTCTCAGCTTGAATATAGCATTATATTCTGGGATTCTTCTACAGTTATGAAAAGTTTATTTGTTGCTCAAAAAAGGGCGATTAGGGTTATGCTGAGATTGAGTCCTGGAAAGTCGTGTAGATAAGGTTTTAAGAGGTTGGGTATTTTGGCTGTTCCTAGCCTATATATCTATTCTATACTGATGTTTGTTGTTAGATACGGCAATTTTTTTTCAAACCAACAATAATATTCATCATATACACACTAGACAGTATGGAAAGCTACATGTGTCATCGGTGAGATTATCTTCAATCCAGAGAGGTGTGTTATATTCATCCATTATGGTTTATAATAATCTTCCTCAAAATGTACAAAGAATGAGTGATAATGTGAAGATTTTTAAAAGCACACTGAAAAGTTTCCTCACAACAAATGCTTTTTATTCAACAGATGAATATATTTCTGCTAAGCAAGTTTAACATTTAATAACTATATTCCTTGTAATTTTGTTTATGAATGACAATGTAAATTATGGTTATTTGGTGCTTTTAGTTGTGTGTGGTTGTTTGCTGTTGGCACGATTGTACTTCTGCAGTCAAGATTTATTTTGACGAGCTCAATATCCGGTCCGGTTCGGACATCAGATCAGTGAATTTATGAATTGTGTATGCATGTACTCAGTCTTCACTAGTCATATCCTGGCCACAGATTTAAACTCAGTAATTATAACAGTCCCACTGTAACTGCAGCATGAATGAAGTCGTTTTTGCACAGCCTAATTTCATTCTTCTCAATCATCTTCAACTCTCATCTTAATACTCTCTCTCAATTTTGATTCTAGCTGCCTGAGATTCTTGTTTTATAGCCTCAGGTCAGCACCAAAAAGACACTGTTTTCTGACAAGTCCTCAATTGTTATAAAGGTGTGTTACCTCACCATTGTACAGAAATGGCAGTTCTTTGATTGTAGCTTGTATATTCATTGTCACAGGACTGTGTTTATGAAATTGTTGCCTAGCAATGAATGCCTACTCTGACTTCACTATTCAGGCTTTCAGGCATCATGTCACAGTGTTTATTGTCTCCTAATGTGATGCTGTTAACCTCCTAAGCAAGCTCTAACCTAGATTACCATGGAATATCTACTGTCTCACCCCTAACCTGTGACCTGCCTAGCATAGAGAACCTACCAGGAGTTTATGCCCCACCTAATGTAGCTCTTCCAGTTTTCAAGGCACTGACATACAAACCTCCCTGCCATGTTAAGGCAGTAGCAATTATATAATCTACATGGAAAAATTAAGAAATATAATTTACTGTTTTCTTTACTTATTATACCACAGAAAATTTCCTTTAAGGAGAAGAAATGGATGTAACAGGTTAATGATACATTTTTGGCTGTATGGATAATATAGTCTCAAATAGAAGGACTGTGAATACTGAAATGGGAAGAATAGCATGATCTTGCCTAGGGTATGTACTATTCTATTCTTTGTCTTAGAGTGCAGAAGAAAACTACAAAAAAATGTCAGGGTAACTGGCTTCCAGGCCAAGAATGAAATCCAGGATGCAGGTGTGCTAACCATTACATCATAACATTCAACATTATATCATTACTTTGTTAACTAATTAGTTAAGTTACTCACTGTTTTGTGCTTACATATTACAAGTTCTGACGTGGAGATATTTACTGACTATAATATGTACTATGTTATATTGCGTTATAAGATGCTTTACTTCCGCTGAAAGAACGGAATACTTACTGTGAGTCGTTTATCAGGGTTGACCTCTATCATCCCTCTTAGAAGATTCTGGCAGTCAGGTGGGACAAAATGTGGTATATGGAACACACCACGCTTCACCTTCTCCAGCAATTGTCTCAGGTTGTCATCATCAAACGGTAGTGCTCCCACCAACAACGCATACAGAATCACACCACAGGACCATACATCAGCCTTACGACCATCATATTTCTCACCCTGCAATTTAACAAAATTATCCTTCTCTTGATAGGAGCTGGGGTACTGTAGTTGGTATAGTGACTGGCTATGGGCCGGATGACTGAGGGGTTGGAGGTCAAGTCCCAGTAGGGTCAAGAATTCTCTCTTCTCCACGTCATCCAGGTTGACTCTGGGGCCCACTCAACCTCATATCCAACAGGAACTGGGGGCTCTTTCTCCAGGGGTAAAGTGGCCCAGGGAGTGGCCCCCCTCTGGCTATTGCCAAGGTCATGAAAATATGGATCTCTACGTCCACTCCTCCATATACCTTCATGGCGTAGTGCTTAATTCACTGAGCAAAGGGATAATTATTTTTATTTTACCTTTCTCTTGATTACTGATGACTGTTTCAGTGTTGGAATCCAAACCCCTGACACAGGACACCTCCCTCCCAAAAAAAGTCTGTTGAACACACAAGTACAAAGACAAAAACAACTCCATCCAGTGTGACTATTTAAGTTTTACCCCTTGAAAACTCAGCACCCTTACATGTTTCGATCCTTACGGATCATCTTCAGAGGGAACATCAATACTTATTCGGAAACCATTATCACAATAGGTGTTCTGAGCGCTAAATTACATACACACATAATGCCTGGAATACACAATGTACACAATATTCAACTTTTCACAATCACAGCAGCCTTCCTGGTATTAAACAATTTTAAAAACTTTAAAAAGTTTGAGTAAAAACAACACAGCAAGCCACGAACAAACACGGACAATACTAAGAATCGCCTTTCTCAAGACAGACAGGCGGCACAAGCTCAGCCCCTCCAAGAAAGACTAGAGGAGAAGTGACACGAATCTGCATGGTTTATAAATTGTAACTTAAACAACAAAGTTTTTAAAAAACTTTAAAGTTTTAATAGCAGGAAGGCTGCTGTGATTGTGAAAAGTTGAATATTGTGTACATTGTGTATTCCAGGCATTTTGTATGTAATTTAGCACTCAGAACACCTATTGTGATAGTGGTTTCTAAATAAGTAATGATGTTCCCTCTGAAGACGACCTGTAAGGATCGAAACATGTAAGGGTGCTGAGTTTTCAAGTGGTAAAACTTAAATAGTCACACTGGATGGAGTTGTTTTTGTCTTTGTAATTGTTAATGTGATGGACAGAATGAAACAAATAAAAAAAATCGAATGCACAAGTGTTAACATGTTTGTATTCGTGGTTGAAAAATTTAACAAAATTTGCCTCTGTTAAATGGTACAAAACTTCATATGGTGGAGGGTTCAGCATTTGTCACCCCTTCCAAGCTTCTGATGTATCATTGTTGACAGGAATACTCAAAAATGGCTATTCTTGGACCAGCTAGAAAACAGAGCTACTTCATCATTGCCTCATGATATACACAATTATGTCATCACTAAAAATTACTAGACTCTAGTTTAAGCATACTTCTGGTATTCATGCACTAGTGGAAAATTCAAACATGCTGAGTTAAAACTGTTCTCTATTTATTTCTGTAAACCAATATTTTTTCGAGAATATTGATACAACAAGTGCTCAGTTTTCTGTCAACAGCTCCAGATGACATGTGATTTCTCAATGACATCCTTGGAAAGCCATCATGGCCATCATTTATTCACAAACTGCCGAAGTGCGTTCTTTCTCTCTGAGTTACATACATTGAGCTCATCTGTCCTCCTGTTCAGCTATTACTGCCTAATGAAAACAATAATAAGAACAACCTGCAAACTATACCAAGTAAGCCTCCATCTCTTTCCTTGTTCAAACTATGTGTCATTCCTGTTTACAGTGCACTGTGAAGATTATTTCCACAAACAAAATAATACAAACTCCATGGTTTTAGTCCACAAGTGAACTATACCGACTAAGCGACCGCTGCTTGTCAGCGAAGTGTTAATGCCAACTTAGCAGATAGAGGGTGTTGTGTGGTCAGCGCAACGAATCCCCATGGCCGTTAATTTCAGTTTTCTAGACCGGAACATTATATCCTCATAATACTATACTCATGAACCAGTCAAAATTCTGTTTATGCTGCATGATACAGATGAATGTCCTTTACAAATATAAACAGAATACAGAGATGTTATAAAAAGATGGATTAGCAAGAATCATACTTATTTATACCAAAAACACCAATAAATGGTATTAATGCTCCTAAGCATAACTAGTAGAGCTCACTGCTACTGCTCTCATCTTGTTACAGCATTTACAGGGAGAAAATGTGTGTTTTGTTTTGTACAACTTCTGCATTACAACATGTGGCAAGCATATCATAATTAATGTAATCCTCCTATCAACAATGAACTACTGTTCTCTTTGGTTGGAAATACACAGATTTTTCATAGTTCCAAGGTAATATTCCAGTTCTTCATTAACTGTTCATACCAGGGGAATGATTAACAAAAAAAAATATTAATTTTACCTATTTGTTCTCGTGTTTAAAAATATAATTATGACAGAGATTTCCTTGATGTCGGTTATGGTTCAGGATTAATTTGGCCTACCTATGAACCATTGGTCCCTAGAAGTTTCCTATGGAATGCCTTGTTGACGTCACAGAACTTTTCAACCAGAGGGTTTTCTGCACAAGGGATAATGAAACTACTTTGGCTTGCTGGTCCCACTTTAACATAGCTCAAGATCTGCACATTTAAGCAGTATGGAATTTTAGCACCAAGGTATATAATGACAAGAAATAAATAATGTCCTGACCTTTGCAACAGCATATTCCAAACTAAAGAGTGTCGCGCCAATTCTTTCCTCACGATGGTACATACCCTAATGACCTCTGGACAGGCATAGTGAGGTGACCCACAGCTGGTTTCAAGCATACTGCCAGCTGGTTGTAGTGATGCCATACCAAAATCTGCAATCTTGATATTGTTCTTCTCATCAAGCAGCAGATTCTCGGGCTTCAGATCTCTGTGACTGAAGAACACACACATAACATTACCAAGTGGAAAACACATGGCTGTTTGCAATCAATTCCTGTGAACTGAACTACAACTTAATCACAGGTGGAAATTTTGCTTATCTGCCATCTACAAATTAAAAGTAAAATACACTCAACTCTCGATTATCCAGGATAACCATGGGGATGGAAATCACGATTAATCGAAAACCCGGTTAAGACAAATTTTATTAAAAGTAGTACTGTAATACTGTACCTTCATAATACTATAGGCCTACCTGTATTTAAATTTATTCAACCTCATTTTTATGTCATCTCATGGCCTATTTAATACTTTTTTACATTACACTGAAGTATGAATTAGTTATTTCAATCACAGTCTTCAACAACATCCAACACTTTTTACGAATATTCACACTTAACACTTAAAAAAATTTAATATTGTTGTTTACGTTTTCGCGGCATTTTCCTTTTTCTGTTGAATACTTAACACAACGAGCTTCTTTTTACAACCTGACATTTTGCTAACACACTTGAAGATCGATACAAAGAAACTAACTGGGGCGGTGTATCTGTCCTTGAAACTTTCCACAAATTCTTGCATTCTTTCACCCCTACCCTAGAACATTGTGTTAGCATAACGGGACCAAAAAATGCAGAGCTCGGTTCACACTAGTGCGAAAATAGTGTTACAACTCACCATGTGAAACAGAAGTGAATGAATATTAAACATCATATAAACCTCAAAAAAGCCCCGGTAGCCCCAGTTAAGCCGCAAACCGGTTTATCCGCCCCGGATAATCGAGAGTTGAGTGTATATCACATTCCAATTTGCTTCTCTGGAAGCTTCATATGAATTTTGTAGTAAAAGACAGGAAATATATTAATGTTATACTGGTTAATTAAACAAATTCCTTTAATTTCATTCTACATGCATAAACAAGTGAACAATCAAATTCAGAAAAAATAAAGCTTGTCCCTGATTTTTCTTTGAATTGAATTGAATTGAATTTATTTACATTCTATAAATCCTAAGCAGGTTAGTACCTTTGGATACAGAACAAGTCAAAAGGTTACATACATAAGTACAGGCAATTTTAGCTTAAAAATTAATATAACTTAATTTTACACCATTCTCTATTTACATTGAAGTATTCATCTAAAGAGTAGAAGGAATGAGCATGTAGATAATTCTTTAACTCTGATTTAAACTTAAGTGCTGTGTCAAAGACAAAGGCCCATGTTAGACTCAAGTTAACAAAATCTGTCATACACCTCAAGGGAATGACAAGTGAATATGAAGCATCACTGGAATATTAAGTGGGAGAAGAAACCATAAGTAGTCATGGAGAAACCTTATCGAGCTATACTATACAGACTACCACATATCCAGAGCAAAGTGCTCCAGAATTAAACTTTAATCCACATCAGGAAATTATATGATCTGTATGAAGCTTTCCAGGATAAAAAGAAAGATGTGTTTAAAACTGTCACATTTAAGAAAATATATACCACACTGTAAAAAATAATCCTCAATGTTTCTGGTTTATCTCCAGTATAAACAAAGAAATTTATATTCATCAAATTAGTTTTCCATGCATTCTGCTGTTGCTGCAATAAAAGAAACTTATTTCTGGATTGCAGATATAGAGCACATTATACATGGAATTAAATGGAAAGACATTTAGCAACCAGAAGTAGTAGGGCTTTCACAGTTTACTTTATCTGTACTTGAATTATGTTGGGTGTTCACCCAAGTAGAGTGGATGGAACTACAATTATGAATTATTTATATACACATAATGAATGTCAGAACAAATATCAGAAGAAATAAATCCTGGAATGACAAGCCATTTAATGCAAACAAGTTTAATATAAACAAACCAATTAGGCCACACAAGTAATTGGATTATTTATAACACATTGCGGATTGGACGGGCCATATGGCCCTCTATGTTTCCAAACGTTGTGGACCGGGCTGGCCATATGGCCCTCTACAGTCATGTTATGTTGCAAAACGCTATATATCGCTGTGTGGCTTCATTGAATCATAACTACTGCATAGATGACCTTGGGAATGATTGCTGCCTTATCTAGTAACTCGGCCAGAGTCATTTCCTGTCACAATCTAAACAAAATTGGCTTTGTTCTAATCCAAGCTTGCAC